AGTAGCCGACCCCGCGAATTCCCCAGTGTATGCCTCGTGGTCTAGGTCAACCAGCGCCGCCTTACATGACGGAGGTCAACTATTAAGCCACGCCTACCTCCGCTATATAAGACCTGACCTCGTGGTCACCTACCTCTCTTTCTACCTACAGCCAGTCTATCAAGGAACACCACCTCTGCTCCTGCCTGGCAGCCCTCGCTACCGCCGGCGAGCATGGCGTCCCACAAGCTGGTCCTCCTCTGAGCATCCTCACCAACCAGCTCTCTCTACATCACGCTTGTAACCACACTGCCACTTCCCAGCTCCAAGCTGCACTGTACATCCAATACAATATGTATACAGAGAGCACATTGTGAGTTTCCTTTCTCCATCCCATCCTGAGTGTGAACCCAATAACCCGTACCCCACAATACCACTACGGCCAGCTGGTAACTGAGCTCTCACCCCGGACCAGTGACCATCCCCCGAGCTGCCGGCCAGATGACGTCATGTGCAGTGAAGGGCAAATTTTTGACTCAAAGTGGGTTGACTTGGTATAATTAGACTTTGTACATCATTAACTGGTCAAACTTTACTCCAGTAGTTGGGCATAAACTATGTATGTTACATTCACTGATCACAAGAACAGATAAGGAAGTAGTATAGTTAGAAATTTAACATTAAGAATTCATAGCTAAAATAAAATATTTTAAAGGAGAAGAGAACGTTTGCATTGTACAGTACATGTGGGTGTCCATGGCAGATAACTGCTGATAACAACCGTGTGATCAGGGGTATGATAACAAAGGTAAACGTTGTCTCTTCCTTTAATCTTGGCATTTCCTGCTGAGTAGATCACCTCTGCTGTCATGATATCAGTTACATATTTTTTGTGTAGTTTTATGAAGATGCAGTACTATTTTCCTTTACCCTTTACATGCATAAAATTTAGGTTAGTACTGTACAGTATGTTGAAGTAAACTAGTCAGTCCATAATTAGAATAATTCCCCAATGATAACTCCATTTTCCAAGCACTAATCTTAATTAAATTTTAGGAGGAGGATGCTTTTAGACGAAGGTTTATTTTACTTTAACAAGGAATGGTTAAATGTTTTGGTCACTGATACCAAAAGAAAAACAGTGATTTCGGTATGATGATTTCTAATTTCATACACCAATCATGAAACTTCATTGGGATATTGTCGTATTGCAGAGAAAGACCTGCATTAATTACGGGGTTAAAGGAGTTTCATATACAAGTCACCAAAGCAAAAAGAATAATTTCGTAATCACCACCGCAACATGAAGATCAGTGCAAGGAATTTTACTGAAGAATATTTTCCTTTGACAAATGAAATGAGAAAGAGGCTTATTTCAGTGCAGGTGTAAAGACAGATGGTTATTTGGAAGAAGTGTATCTGGGGGCTGGGACATGTTGGATAGATGTTTGGTTGTTTGAGAGGTTTTTGATTGTTTGAAAGATATAAGGATATTTGAGAGCCTGCGCCTCGTGGTCTAGGTCGGCAACCAGCGCCGCCTAACAAGGCGGAGGTCAACTGTCAAGCCACGCCTAACCCCGCTATATAAGACCTCACGTGGCCGTGACCTACCTCTTTCTTCTAGCTCAGCCGCAGCAAGCAACACTTCCTTCTTCTACCTGCAGCCACCAGCAAGCAACACCTCCACTCCTGCCTGGTGGCTCCCCCTCTCGCCGGCGACTATGGCGCTCCACAAGCTGCGTGTTGTAGTGGAATTCTCCCCTACAAACGCTGTTTGTCGCTGCCTAGCCGACCCCACCAATTCCCCAGTGTATGCCTCGTGGTCTAGGTCAACCAGCGCCGCCATACACCACGGAGCGGGGGTCAACTGCTAAGCCACCCCTACCCCCGCTATTTAAGACCTGACCTCGTGGTGATCTCTCTCTTTCTACCTACACCAACCAGCCAGCAACACCTCCGCCTGCCTGGCGGTCCTCGCTCCTCCGCCTGCCTGGCGGTCCTCTCTCCCGCTGGCGAGCATGGCGACCCACAAGCTGTCCTTCTCTGAGCGTCCTCACCAACCAGCTCTCTCTACATCACGCTTGTAACCATGCTGCCTTCCCAGCACCAAGCTGCATTGTACATCCAATACAACATGTATATAGAGAGCACATCGTGAGTTTCCTTTCTCCATTCCATCCTGAGTGTGAACCAAACATCTCATACCCCACAAATGGTAACCCCGGAGTGACCATTTGTGGGGTATATTAGGTTTGAGATGAAAAACAGCAGAACCAGGCGGCCAGCTATCTTTGCTGACGCTTGGACACGCTGCAATTCCCAGTCTCCTCTGAGCACCCTCACCAACCAGCTCTCTCTATTCCACGCTTGGACCCACGCTGCCACTCCCCAGCACCAAGCTGCATTGTACTGTGGGGTATGGGTGGTTTGTTCGGACTCAGGATGGGATGGAGAAAGGAAACTCACAATGTACTCTCTGTATACATATTGTATTGGATGTACAATGCAGCTTGGTGCTGGGAAGGCAGCATGGTTACAAGCGTGATGTAGAGAGAGCTGGTTGGTGAGGGTGCTCAGAGGAGGACAGCTTGTGGGTCGCCATGCTCGCCTGCGGGAGCAAGGACCGCCAGGCAAGCGGAGGAGGTGTTGCTGTCTGGTTGGTGTAGGTAGAAAGTCGGGTTGTCACCACGAGGTCAGGTCTTAAATTGCGGAGGTAGGCGTTGCTTAGTAGTTGACCTCCGTCATGTAAAGTGGCGCTGGTTGACCCAGACCACGAGGCATACACAGGGGAATTCGTGGGGTCGGCTACTCAGCGACAAACAGCGTTTGTAGGGGAGAATTCCACTACAGTACATCCAATACAGTATGTATACAGAGAGCACATTGTGAGTTTCCTTTCTCCAACCCATCCTGAGTGTGAACCAATATCTCATAACCTCACAGTACGCCCCAGATGCATCCTCTTACACTTCGTGACATTGAATCTCAGCAGCCATTTCTTCGACCATTCTTGGAGCCCACAGAGGTCCTTCTGCAGCTCTTCACAGTCCGCTTGGTTCATGATTTCCCGAAATAACTTGGCGTCATCGGCAAACATTTGTATGGAGGAGTGTACAACGTCAGGCATGTCATTTATGAAACAAACAAACAACAGCGGGCCCAATACACTACCCTGTGGTACCCCGCTTGTGACAGATACTGATGATGATTTCGTGACATTAATCACCACACACTGCTTGCGATCATGTAGAAAGTTTTCTATTCACGCTAGGACAATTCCCCGAATTCCGTACCCTTCCAGTTTGATTTTCAGCCTTTCGTGGGGTACACCGTCTTAAGCCTTGGCAAAATCTAGGTAAATAATGTCTATATTACCACCCCGTTCCAGAATATGGGTCCAAATATCCAATACCTTAAGCAATTGTGTTAAGCAAGAGCGCCCCGGCATAAAACCGTGTTGGCAATCCTTTACAAGGTTGTTTCGTAGTAGATGTTCCATCGCCGCATCTCTGATAATACTCTCAAGTACTGAACATATTCTGCTGGTCAGGCTCACCGGTCTACAGTTGTTCGTGGAGTGACGATCGCCCGTCTTGAAGATAGGACTCACATAAGCCACTTTCCATTCACTGGGGACCTTTTGTTCATCCAGGCATTTACAAAACATGATCTTCAGGGGCTCGGCAAGCTCGTTGCTCAACTCTCTTAGCACTCTAGGATGCACCATGTCCGGGCCGGGACTCTTATGAACCTTTAGCTTTGACAGTTTATTTTTAATACCATCTTTTATGAACACAATGTGGGTCGATGCTAGTTCTCTAGGATCTAGGACTAGGTTAAGCAGTCGTATCAGGGGAACTGGTTCGGTACTGTTTTAGGGAACGTAAGCACGTGTGTGTGTGTGTGTGTGCGTGCGTGCATGTGTAAAGAATTTTACAGTGTCTGAACCCAAATAATAAAAAATTAAGGCGCAGTGATAGTGAGCTTGTGCATTACTACAATCCGTGTTTGACTCGTTTGAATCGGATGTGAGAATGAGCTTGTCCAGTGTGACTCTACCGAACATAGCAGGTATTTTCCCCTTACTACTCAGGAGTAATATGTCCTTTACAAACACTAAATCCATGAGGATAAAGACGACGATTAGGATCTGGATACACGCGTCTAGTGTGTAATATCCCCAAAAATCAAATGGTTAAAGAATATGTAAACGTTATGTCAACCTATTCGATAACTTTTTCATTAAACAAGAAAAAACTTTGAAAACAATCGACAATAACTTTGTTTCCTGTTGGCACTGCTACTGTACATCACTTTAGTTATTATGACTATGAACACTGTGTATATTTGTTTATTGCAAATTTTCGTTTTAATGCATATACTATAGGTATTTGCATAATCTTCCTAAGCGGTCCTGGCATTTTTTTCCAAAGAATGTTGCAGAAGTGTTAACAGTGTGAAGCAGCAGTTGTTTGTACTGTGATGCTTCACCAACATATTTTGTTGCTCAATTATATGCAACACTTATATAGTAGATACTCAGCGAATAGTTCCTTCTCTTGTTATAGATAACCTATTCCTTGGGGTCTAGCTGTAAATGTTAGATGTTTGCTAATGTTAGTATTTATCGCAAAAGTTATTTAGATTCTCCCTATATTATTCACCACTCAGACGATTACCTCTAGTGTCGGATAAAAGAGAATGGCTTAGGTCTCGTCAAAAAGTATGCGAATACTGTTATTTTCGGGATGAAGCTTATATAACCGATTTAATAAGGTATTAATGGGTCTTGCAGGCCATTATTTGCTAGCAGTCTAGTTTTTCTTGTCACGCAACGTGGCAAGTAAAGTTGCCAAATATATCTTTTACTCTCATATCTTGCTCCATATACACTAAATATAAATATGTAATATGTTAATAAACCAATCTCACAATTCAAATACAGTTTATGATACATAAGTGCTGGGTAAATTGTCCTTGGGAAATTTTCACTAGGGACACTGCGCCCGCCGCGGCTCACCTGGAGGGGCCCGGACTGGAGACCTTCCAAGAGCCAACTCCAACATGGCTGCTGATGGCTTAGACGTGATGGAGGTATGTAGGCAGATGTTATTCTTGTTAAGTGTGTTGTTATTCTCTTAGGTAACTTAGGAGGAGGTCCAATTTTCCGTTAAATATTTCTGGGCAAATTTTCATTCATTGAAATGATGAAGGAAGAGCAGGAGAGTTAATAATACATATGACAGAGGCTCGGACCGGGTCTAGACTGTGGAAAAGTTGACCTTCTTTCCTCAAGTGAACTCGTGGTATTGTGTTTCCTTCAGCAAGCATGGGTACACTTTTTATGGAACGGACTGAGTTGCTTTTATGAAGGCGGTTAAACTGATAGCAAATGAGGGGCATTAAATATGGGGGAGCTGTCATCATTATGAAAGTTCAACTTTTGAGCATCAAAACAGCACCACCAGACAGCCTGTGTAACCTGCAAGGAGAGCGCAAAATGCTTGAACTCTTTTAATATCCCCCCACAACCTTGTGCTTGTCTGTCAGGAACTTAGAAAATGTTCAGGAAGTTTGGAATTACCTAACTTAACCTTGCTTGCTTAAATCTGGCAATTGAATATGTAATTGGCAGAATATAAACCCAGTTGTTTAGGCAGAATACATGCATCATTACATGTGTAAGTAATGTTGGTAAGCTTAAAGATGAATTTGCAGAATATAAATTGTGTAAAATTCCAATGGAACTGCCAGTATATCCAGCTTGTTACCGGTACTGAAATGACAACTTTCAGAAAAGTAGTAATTCAGAATTGGTCGGAGTTTAAATATAAGACTAATGAAAAATTTGACAAAACATGACAGTAGACAAAAATACTGTAGTATCCTCAAGACAGTCATTAATCCATTTTGTAAACAAGAGGTTTAGAGAATAAGTTAACAATGGGAGGCAAAATGAGTTAACCATACCTAAACTAAC